GTGGATAGTGTGATGGATTTCAAATCAGGGGATAGCAAGTTTGAGTCCCACTGCAGTCAGCATGTCGTTGTGTCCCTGGGCCACAAATTGCTTCTGTGGGGATTGTCCACAGTACTGAATGTGTGCAAGTCGCTTTGGATAAAAGCGTCTAACAAATGACATGTAATGTAATGTAATGTAAAAGTAGGAATACTATGTTACTTAAAACTACTCCACTACAAGTCAAAAGTCGGTCGAATCATGATTCAAGCGTACATTTACCCAATAGTACAAGTAACCTACCTCAGTTTGGCCCAGAATGGGGCTCTTTTTCCACAGTAGCCCCGTATTTATGTTATTATACCATTTACTTTATACAAATGTTATTTTTTTTGATACCTATGAGCTATGAAAACTAACTGAAATAACTCTTGACTCTGTAAAATGGAGCCATTAAATGGGAAAAAACCAAGACTAGGCTAATAGTCGTGACACCAAGAAGGTCCCGTGCACAGCTTGACCTACACGGGCCAAATGCTTACTGCTTAACTTTCATTGAAGTGAAAAAGAACTAACTGGTAAAAGGTTAGCAGGGCATATAGTTTAGCAGTCCTAGCATGTCGGTTTGAAGTAGCAGGTGATTAATTACATTGAGCATCTTGAGACAATGGAGCATCTCAGCTTAGCATGTTGTTGTTTGGGGTTAGTTCAGCCGAGATCATAAACTAGGCAGTTAGCAGGATTGATTAGCGATCTCAGCATGTTATTTAGCTGGAAACATGTGCATCCTCAGTTTAGCCACTGTCTGTTTGCTTTAGGTTAGTCGGCTGCCCTCGGCTTGCGTCATAAATTAGGCCAGTTAGCTCAGTTGTTGTCCCAGTTGATTAGCGCATTAGCATGCTATTTTAGCCTGGACAATTAGCATCTCGTTACGCGTGTTGCACGGGCCCGGCAAAAAAAAAAAAAAAACTTTTGTTTTTTTTTATTTGTTAGGTTGGTCCAGCTGGTCATAAATTAGGCAGTTAGCAGGCTAATTTAGCAGGCTCCGGATTAGACCATCTCAGTTAGCCCCAGGGTTTGATAAGCAGTTATCTGGCTAGTTATCTGGACAATGTAGCCATCTCAGATTAGCATGTTGTTTGTTAGGTTACTCAGCCAGATTCCTGCGGTAGGCAGCTAAGGATTTTGCTTGGGTTGAAAAGCAGGTTACGCTGTATAAGTTGATTTTTTTTTTTTAAAAAGGTGCGTTTAGCTTTATTATAATCATAACTTGCGGCAGTTGTTACTTTCCTGTCTTTTTCATGCAAATCTGACCTGACTGGATCTACTGCATTTTGTCCCCTGGTTGAAACAGTTATTGTTGTTATTGTATACTGCTGGTAAGATAAAACACAGGCCCACACACCGATAGTAAAGCCACCTGTCAATCACAAGTTGCCCTTTACACAACAAACATACACTGCTTTTGGTTGACTTTTGTATTTTAAAATAGACACAATTTTATTACATTTTGACACCGATGCTGTATTGAAGAAACTTAAAGCTAACGGGGTTTGAGCAAACAACTCATTGGGAAAGGTTTTACTGGAGGTAATGGTGTTGCCTCTGACTAACAAGTGCTGATGAAAGTTGAAGAGTAGGGAGAATAGTATTTTGTTGTAAAGAAATGCTAATCACGGCTTAACTAAGTCAAAATAGGGCCCAACTTCAATCGAGCTGTTTAACAAAAAGGAGCAAATTTGCTAATACAAAGAACCGCACAAATATTAAATTCCTTTTACTAAAAATATATGTAAAATGTGATGGTGTTAAAGGTTGCCTTTGTCTCTTGTTGATGTGCTGCAGGGCCATCAGGAGCAGGACACGGCGACATGGCCAAAAAACCCGGCGCATGAGAGGAAAGCCTTTTCTCCTTCCAGGGAAGCGGCTGTCAACACTGGATGACGAGCTCGCCGTCAATCGAGAATGAAAAGCAGGTCTGATATCACCCTGAAACTCTTACGATTTCGAGAAGCCGCCAGCAGCGAAAGCCGTATGTTGAATTAGAGCAAGGCAGTGCAAAAGGAGAAGTTGTTGAATTGCATACTCCGCGGTTAATAACAAACATTGAATATTGGAAAATCATGGCGGTAGTTTTTTCTTGTAATCCTGTGACAGACAACAAACTGAGCTGAAAAAAAAAAACTTTGGACGGTAATAATAATCATTTTGCAAAAACCGTCATATTTCTGAGATGGTTTTTGTATCTGAAGCAAATTCAAGTAATGCTCTTAAAAACTGCTAAATTTAAAAAACTATTATCCTACCTTTTGCATGATATCTAAGGCCCTGGCACACGGAGACAAAAACGGAAAACGAAACCGAGGTCAATATCAAACAAAGTTTTCCGTTCCGCACGGAATCGAAAGAGGGAAAGCGAGTGTCCGTACACACAAGAATATAGTAGAATACATATTGCCGGGCCTGTACAGTGGCCGCTGTATTCCGCCACAAGCCACCAAAAGCAGCGAAGAAGACCCGCCGAGGCACTGGTTGCCACTGGTTGCTGGTTGGCCTTCTGGGTTATTCCTCCGCAGGTGGATTTAGCAACATGTAGTTCATGTAGTTCTCCAATGTCCCACTGTTGCTGGATGGTTGTGGTAGAGGAAGCTGTAGATTTTTGCACTAACATCTGTATCATGGTCAGTAGCGTCTGGGAGCACGACGGCAACCCTGTGATCCGCCATTGTTGTTGTTGTTGCGAAACGCATCAGCAATGACGCGGATGACGCGGGACGCGGCACACGGGTGACCAGGAAGAGGTGGGGAGAGGCGGCCTATGAATCGTTA